AATCGTTCTTAAATTTCGCGAAATCATACACAACGCAGAATGACTTTTTCTTAAAAAGAAAGAAAAACGAAGAGACAAATGGAAAAAAAGAAATAAAAAAGAGAGAATAACATGCATAGCATTTACACTTGTATAATATCTATTACGATTCAAAGAGATGGGAACAGTGCGGAAGCAAAGATCGAACGTTCGATCGACGCTTGTGCACTTGTAACGCACAAGCGATCTCGTACGACCTAGGAAATGCATGGGTTGGTCTGCGTAATCTCATTGACTTTGTGGCCGCGTGTACGAATGCTGTAGCGCAGGCATTACGACACCATGCACACACACCGGAAAGATTTTTCAGAACGACGACGGTCTTGGTACAAGGAACTTTCGATCGCGATGGATGGTTCCGGTGCCGTGGAACTTGGAAAGTTTCTCCGCGACGATGCAAATAAAAGGTACAAAAGGGAGGGAGACCGGTAACTTTGTACGGTAACAGAAAAGCCGATAGTAGACACTCTGCATCATGCGAGACAGATTGTTGACAAAGATTCGAGTGGAATTTAAATGAGTACATATAATCCTGTGACACGTTGCGCAACATAAGGCATTCCTATCTAGTCTATTTCCGATGAAAGTTACATTTAGAATTCTACAACACGATGTACCGGTTAATATGGTGATAAATTCAGATGTCACCGTTGCTACAGCTCTTTACGGTGATTTCTCTGATCGAATATGCATATGAAGTATGGAAATAGCAAGGCTATATAATTATACATATGTATTTCTCTCTACAGAGGAATGTCGTTTATCTGTTTCTGTTTGTACCCTTTGACTACTTTGGCATTAATAACGATGGAAAAACGAAATGCGACAGAGTACCGTCAATTTGACGTTTAAATAGAAAATTCAAACACTGCATGCGAATAGCGAAAGATAGAAGAAAATCTGTCGAATATTCGTAACAAACGTAGTCCCAGTTTCCTCATTTTCAATAATGTTGATTAAACGGATGTTATTTTCCACGTGGCTCCTCTTTTCCTTCAGGAATTCGATAAAGTTTTATCAGGGAGGAACATGGCTTAGGTGGTGGAAGTAATTTGTCGCACCCCTGTGAAATTACGGTCTAGTAATTACGATGAAGTTACGGTCTTATTTTAGTTACAACTCTGTTTCTCATTAGAATTGTGCTGTAAATTGCAGGAAAAGTTCTTCGTTAACGTAACTAGTTAAATATCTTCTTTAAGGCTGTCAATTTCACGATATTACGATCTTACGAATCTTCCACTTCGTTTCATCTCAGTATCGTTTCATTTTTTCATCAATTTATGTTCTATTTTTTTCACCGTGCAACAAGGGCAAGAGGGTGCGAGCAAGTAAAACGCAAACTCGAGATGCGTGCGTGTTGACAGAACCAATATTAACGTAATGTTGACGATCATTTCTAGTGCAAACAAGGTAGAGTCTATCGTCGAACGTGACTGATCGTATAGAATGAAGGATTGCATATTCCCTTCACGTCGCAACGCGTTGTATACTGGTATGGAATGCTAGAGATTTTGCAAATCTATAAGAAAGGGGCAGACAACGAAAGTATGGAATACGCCATTAGATAGATAGGCACGTGACAGTTTCTATCCACATATTTGCGTCGTGCTAAAAAATCTGAAGATTCCTGTTCCGGTTGTTTTGCGAGCTTGAAACGAAACTTTTCTCGAGAGCATTCCTACTTCCTACATTACGGATGTATTATAAATTTCCATTTTCCATGAAGATATTCCATTTGCTCGATTTTGTTGACACGTATAGCAAGTTTATACGTTTACGTAGAAAGTGAAGGGGAATATCAGAAATGTATGCGCTGTACAGCAAATAAGAGATGTTTCGTCATTTGTAAAGGAAAAAAAAAAAGAAAAAGAAGGAAACTAAGTCAGTACGAAATCAAAGGTTCAAATGTTTCATCATACGCGTAACAAACTAGTTCGCATTCTTGCTACATTATTATATCAGGCAACCATATGAACGTTTTGCAATAAAAACAATAATAATAGCCCCCGCGTCTTTCTAATTAAAACAAGAAAGTATAGCTTTATTATTTTAACGTTGATACGTTTGCTTTCAAACGTCACTTTCGAATCTATTCGTACGGTATTCCTGTTACTTAGTTCACAAAGATTTCTTTAACGAATCTAAATGAATGCTAAATAGAAAATCTAAAGAAATAAAAGATACCTTTAACGGTTACCATTGAAGTTACGCAGGGAAAGAAGTTAGTATACAAAACTAAAAGCGGTTAGGTTAATGTATTCTTTATAAACGCAACAGTTTTTATCGTTAATTTTTTGTGATATGCGTACAAAAAATTGTTCTCCCAGTGTAGATCATTAACGAAACTTTATATCGTATGAATCGGATCACGGTGTAAAACGAAGCACGCGAGGCTAGCGTGTAAAATCGGGCAAATAGCGGAAATAATAACGTGCGGAGATTGCACGATAACATAACGTCGCAATCGGTGCGTATGTGGGAAGCTCCTGACGCAACGCGCGGATTTCCACGTATATCAGAATAAAAAGTAGTGCGAATGTGAAGGTACCTCCTTATTCGTCTCTTCCAAGTATCTCCATAGAAGAGGCACAATAGAGATTGATGCAAACGCCAAGTCACGATTTTGTACGTTGTACAACGAAAAAGAAAAGACGAAAGAAAATAAGACACATCGTTCTAAAGCGTGTTGCGTAACATGGGTAGACGCGTCTACGTCGAGCTGCAGCACGTTCTGATTTCTCGGAAACACCTGGTGTTCAACGATTTCGCGCCAATTTCTGGGGAACGAGGAAGCACAGAAGTTGCTTTCCTGTGCCATGCGAATAAATAATTGGGAATTTTCTTACGTAGTTATTAGAGAGCGACTCGGCACGAAACTCGAAACGCAGTAAATGAAAGCCTGCAACTTTTGAAGGATTTATATTTATCTTCCGTTGAACAAACACGGAGAACGAAACAATGGAAAATTCGAGGATTCATCGATCGATCTAAGTGTACTTTAAATTTAGCGCGGTTTCAAGTATTTGCATATAATCTTACGATCGTGCAAGGTACGAAATAATTGAGAGATTGCATAATATAGATATGGAAAGTATTAGTCACAGTCAATGGTGTTTCCTTAAAGCTAATTACGAGTATCCTTCTATCATACGTTACACTTCGTGATAACATTTTGCGTTGCTTACACGTCAAAAATCGTTTTGCTCGATTTAAACGCGAAACAGATGAAAATGATACACGGGAAAAAATAATGCGTTCGAGCAAAAAAAAAAAAAGAAAAACGTTTACATCACAATTGACGGAAACGTAACTTGCCGTATGCAATCGACATACCAGAAGTACCAATGTGTATGGTTGAGGCAACATCGTATCTGCATCGTTCCTCTTTGCACGCGAACGCCATCCATATGCATTCTCCGGCTGATCGAAGAAATCTCTCTTTCTCTTTCTCTCTTACGCGAACTTCCTAGACCATTAAATATGATTACCTGGCTTGCGGCACGTTAAATAACGGGATTTGCTAACCAACAGTCTGCGTGTCTTGCTATATACGAAAGCATCGGTTAGCACGTTTTAAAACTCGCCTGGTCGCTAGGAGATAAACCTGGCTAATGGTTGTTGTATCTTAAAGACCTGGTAAATATTATACGGTAACGAAACCCCGTTTCACCGTGGTTTATAAACTGCTTATTATTAAAACAGGTGCATTACCAGCGGTAGCCACCCCCTCTTCACTTTCCGTATCGTCGAAAATTCAATTTCACTATCGAAAGCGTTCGAATTAATTAAACGAATCGGATACCGTTTAGTTTTTGTTACGATTCGATTCGATCATTTCCTGATATTTCGCTGGATGCGAAGCAAGTTGAACCGTGTACAGTCTACTATTCGTCTCGTCAATTAAGTACAATTATGCAACTCGTGGCAGCAGCAACTTGCTTGTTTCTCTAAATCAGCGATAATTTCTTCGGCACGCGGTTCGAAATAGCGAGCAGGATGCTCCAATATAATTTTGCAATCGATAGGCGAATGTTCGAAACACGATTGTGCTGCTACGACGTAGTTTCCCTTGATCGTTGGACAAGGTCGATAGAACGGATATTCGCAGAGGGCATTCGTCAATGAGCTGAAATTGTCGTAAGCACGTCTCCTCGTTTCTGGCGAATTCGCTGAGCCAAGCAAACCACAGTCGCGTACGTACGCGACACGCTTCTGTAATTTCGTACCGCGTGTACACGTAACATACTCCAACGTTGCGCTCTCGACGCCCGTCGAACACGCTTTTCCCAGATTTTAAAATTCGATCACACGGACACCGGAGTCACTTTCGGTTTCTATTTGTTATCAGATTAGCGAGAGCGTAAAGGGGAAACGAACGTTGCACGCGGAAATGAAATCAGGCTAAGAGGAGAAAGGGTTCTTCGTTTGCTAATTACTAGGAATTATGATTCGTTCGGATAATGTCGTGCTCATCAAGGAAATGTCGTTAAGTTCGGTGAAGACATTTCGATTCGGAAAAATTCTATAGAAAATTTATTAGCACGAGAAGTAGCATCGTTGTGTAAGATTTGCATGAAACACAGAGAAAGAAGACAAGGGTTGGAATGGTGGAAACATCGAGATTGCTCGAAGAGAACGGCGGGCGTGAACGTCGTCAAACTCCGCGGTACAAGTTTTTACGCAGTTGAACGTTCATTTCGTTTTCCCTTTCTACACTATTAATTTGCGTGGCGATTCTATTCGCGTTAACGACCGTACAATTCATACGAGCCTTTTTCTCGCTGACATTTCGCTTACGGTAAAGCAAGTGTACCTCATAACGTAACATTAATCGGTGAAAGTTCTGTCGCGATTCCTCCCGATCGCGTAACCGCTAACGCAGCTTTTTTCCTTATCGAGCAATCTTATGCCTGCGAAGGTTACGTAATCGCTTTGTTATGTATAAAAAAATATCGCTTTATTCATTTATAAAAAAAATATTATACAATATTAAAATTTAAGGTTCGGGATCACGGTGAATACAATATTGGTATATTCGACTGACGTCTACTACGAAGGGCACGCTTGTTCGTCGATTGGTGTTCACGTTTCGGCCAGCAAGCGTCTCGTGATCTCGGATGACCGAATTCACGAAATCAGCAATTGCGTCTTGTTGCAATCGATGGACAAGACGTACGTAGAAGGTCAAAGACTTTGATACTCTACCGAGTACAAGCCTTTGCTTCACAAATGCTCGTAACCTCCATAACCTCCGCCAAGATCGTGTCCACCTCCTAAAGACAGTCCACCACCGAATCCACCTCCGTGTCCACCTCCGTATCCTCCACCGAGTCCACCTCCGAAACCACCTCCGAATCCACCTCCGTGTTCCTTCACGACAATAGGTACAGCCTCCTTCACGACCAAGGGCACCTTAACAGGGTAGGGCACTGGTTTTGGTACAGTGACCGGTACCTTGACAGGTACCTTGACCGGCAGAGGCACCTTTATTGGCACCTTGACGGGCACCTTCACAGGGTAAGGTATTGGCTTCTCGACCGGGTAAGGCACGGGCTTTTCGACTGTAACAGGGTAGGGCTGAGGCACGTGGACAGGGTATGGCTTGTCGATTGGTACTTTGACTGGTACACTGACGGGTACGGGGACATGTTTTGTGACCTCTACTGGGTAAGGTTCTGGCACGTGGACGGTCTTTGTGACCGTGACTGCCGGGACGTGTTCCGCGGATACATGTTCGCTGCCACCAAAGCCGCCTCCGAAACCGCCTCCAAGGCCAAATCCTCCTCCGCCTCCGCCTCCACCTCCATAACCTCCTCCGAAGCCATGATCACCCAAGCTAAGCTCCAAGCCGCGTTTCGTCTTCTCTTCTTTTGGCTGGGCGCTAGACTCCGCGGTCTTTTTCGCTTCCTCGGCCACGGCCGACAGTACCAGGCCGCAGAAAAGTAAGATCTGGGGGAAGTAAATCGTAGATTATTAACATTGTTTCGAACGATATTTTCTATTGGTTTTAGAGGGGATTTTGATGGCGATAACATTTCTTTTTTCGCTATTACGAGCGACAAATAGCAAGAAAACAATCGTGCAACGTAAGTATTATTTGATCTTCTTAGGAGAAAAGTACACCGATTCGACGAATATGCTTCGATTGATTTAACCAATTGCACGAAGAACGACAACACGCTCAAATTTTCACCGGTAACGTCAGTTTCGTTCGCTTGGCTCGAGAGACGGGAATTCAAGTGGCTGCCTTACTGGAGCTACTCACTTTCAGCTTCTCTGTGCTGTTCATGTTGGTCGACAGTGAGCACACTGGTTCCTCGATGGTCTACCCTCGCTTTTATAGGGGACGCAACCGCCAGTCCGGCAGGCAACTCGAGCGTGCCGATGAAATTGTTGCGGAGTAGGAAGTTGAGAGAAGGAAAGGAAGAGAACGACGCCGTGGACGACGCTTTCCTCCGTTAGCTTTTGTCAGCCAACATTTAGCAAGTCGCTTCGCGTCCCGTTCAATTTCTTCCTGAATGCTGCCTAAGCTTTCGAAGCTTCTTTAACAATTCGGCAAATCCTTTGATACATTTTCGTCTCGTTCGATTCTTAATTTCACCTGTGTGCGAGGACGCGCCTCCAATTTCTATCTAGAACAAGTCGAAATTCGTCGAATCTTCGGAGGATGATAAAAAGAAAAATATCGATCGAGTTTCGATTCAGATTACGCTCGTCCGGATTGTAGAGCGATCGCTTCAAACTTTCTCGTTACTTACGTACGTTTGCCGAGCCAGCGAGTTTTCAATTACAGGATGAACCATCAGAACGAACCGGTGCAACTAATACGGATTCGACTCTGACGGTGTCTCTTTTTAATCCGATTACTTCTCACAATACGTTCCTACATCTCTGCACTCACATTCCCGAGAGCTTCATTAATATTAAGAGCTTAATTAAAGCGAGAAGCGAATTATTAGAAGTTCTCGCAGGCATTCGAGTTACATCCTCCCGTATCTTTGCACCTTTTTCTCGTTGCTTCCGAGAACGAAGCAGCTTCTCTTACTACGAAACTCTCTATACACTTGTGCGCGTAAGTTTAATCTACGTTCCGTCGGAAACTTTTTGGTTTGGAATAAAACGTTCCTTCTTGGTTATGCGCTCCTATTAAATTCAGTTAGCGTACTTTAATGATTTCTTCGATACAAGGTAACGGTACTATTGATACGATACGAGGAAAGAACTATTTGAAAACGAAGTAGGAGATCAAGTTTTAAACGACAAAGGATCGTAATAATAAAACGATCTATATTCTTGAAAGTAAAACTAACGGAATCGTCGTCGTAACGGATATATCGACTACCCACCCGATCGAACGTTATTTGCGGTTCATTCGCGTATGCTTCGGAGTTACCGCCTGCAACGATTTTTGGTTATCACTCGGAGATCCCACGGGCGCGGTTAATTTCAGAATGACTTTGTACCTCGATCTCGCCTATTCGAGAGCATTAGAATATCCCCGCGTATCCATGGTTTATCAGGCTTATCGGCGGGAATAAATTTCCATATATCTGAATTTGAATCTCCATATTTGAATCTGAAAATATTGATTTGACTCGTAGCCGTGCTAGCATGACGCGTTTCGACGGGCCGAGCCATCGCGACGTCGGTTCGATTGGGTTAGTCCGATCGGGCTGAATGAAAAGTGAGAGGAAGATGTTTGTCGATAGTTTCTGTCTCACCTTCAACCTGGATTAAATTGTTTTCGATGAATTTATAGTGATTTGCCGCGGTTGCAATCTCCTCGAACTAGAAAGTGATTTCCATATGAGAACGAAGTTTATCGATAGAAGTTCGATAGCCGTCTGTGCGTCATCGTGACGCGAAAGCGATCCGTGAATATGAAGTTTGGAAATTTATGCCATGGCATATCGGTTTGATATCGTCTCGAATGTCGAAGAGAAAATGTTAAGACGTACATCAAGTGACATAACGACGCACTTTAATTAGACGAAACGTCGCGCCGGTAACCTGGTAATTGCGCAAGCCACTGTGACGCGAATGTGTTTGTTCGACGTTGCAGTTTCATTCATTGAATTTAAAGCTAGTGACACGGATCGATTCTACGACCTGGTCAATTTTACTGCGATTAATTGTAATTACCATGCCAGCACTGATACGTTTCGTGCTGCTATTACGCCGCATTTACCCCCCAAGAATTAAAACGCGCGAAAGGTGTTAAGATCCATAAAATACGATCTGCGATACCTTCCACTTCTTCGGTTTTTGCGAGCGCTCGTACGTTCGTTTTACGTCGATGAATACGCGATTATGTAGTTTCTCCAATTTCTTTCCTTTTTACTGAATCGTTATTTGTTACGCAATTTGAAGCATTTCGGACGGATTATCTATCGGTAATTTGAATATTTATATAAAAAGACACATGTTAAGAAATCGTTTTTAATTACGATCTGCTTGACCAAAACTTGCTTTACTCCGTGCAACACTGTACGTAATATTACGTACACGGAACTTTGTTAAGTACTCGAGATCGTATTACGTGGGGATTCTATTATACTCGTGTATGATTTTTGTCTACGATATTTCTGCCGAGAGTTCTTGCTTTCTAGTAATTCACGGCTATTTGTAACACGCCAATTACATAAACGTCTGCATATTGTACTTCCTGTTATCGATACGTCGTGAATTTTTTATCGGTGCCTTTGGTTCTCATTTTCCCCAGAGCGATCTCATGTTATCGGTGTTGCTTGCGGAAAAACGCACTTCCTCGATCTTTCTCGTTTTAATTCGATCGTATCGTGAACCTTCGAATCACCGCCAGACGTGATTTTAGACCACGTTAGAAGGAATCGAAGCCCTCGAACTTTGCATTCGTGCACCACGGTTACAGAAATGCAGCCTAAAGAGTACGAAGTAAATCCCTGTGGTCGACGAGCGTACAAGCAGACGGTAGGAGCGGAATTTTCGCGAAGTCTGCATTTCTGCTTCACCGACCGCAAACGTAACCTTATGCAATAATCGGAAAGGCTTTCGAGTCGGCCAGACCGTAGCTCTCATGAATATATGGATGGATGTTCTCGCTCAAGGTGTTTATCAAGCCGTTTTCCAGTTACGCCCTCTCCCCTTTTCGCCCTTTTCGCGACTTCCTCTCTTCCTCTAGAAGCAAACATAATTCGCGTTCTAGCGTGCCTTCGCTAAAGGCATGCTAAAAGGTGTTTCGTCGTCTACCTTTACCCGTTCTCTCACCTTTTCACCTTCGTCTTGTCTTCTTCCTTTATTCCACTTGTCTACGGCCTCTATCCGGCATATTTATCAACAGTATTATATTGTGTGAATATTAATGAACAAGATTTTAAGCATTTAAACGTTCAGTATAGTACGTTCGTGGTGGAGATACCATTGAATCTAATTTAACGATTTCTCGCTTTCGCGTTAGGAAATGATGACGAATATCTCGAGATATATTTTTGCCCTTTGCCAGGCGAGTTAATGTTAAAGGTACATTAGAGTCGTAGCCGAGCAGAGAGACTTTTTCTGCTCACGATAGAAGACTCCTTTCTAGCGGACTAGTGATACTTGTAATGAAAGTGGTCTCTGGCCAAATCACTTTGCATTAATTTCGTAAACCCGGTTAAAATATTAGCTGGCATGTCAGAAGTGAGAGTCACGTATAATGTCAAAGTATCCATAAAATGGTCATAAAACTGGTCCTGGTGAAAAGTTTCTGTCAGCTGAACGAAATATCGACGCATTCCCGGTAGCTGTGTTATTAATTACCATCGCTAGATTTAACATCAACGCAAGACGTTTTCTCCCCTCTTCGGCCAGTTTATCGATCAGATTATAATACGTTCACAGCTCGTTAATTGCTACGATATGTGTACGATAGAAACCAATTATTAGCGTGTTTAAATGCGGCGCAACGTTGCAATTTGCTATCCGATGAATCAGCCAAAGGCGAACGAACGAACGAACGATTCGTTTCACACGGCTACCGCAACGCACAAGAATATTGTAATTTGTTTTCTTTCGCAAAATTAAGTCACCTGTTGCTCGAAGGAAGCTCGAACCTATCCGACACACTGACTTATTTTCCTGTTTTGTCTCGTGAATCCGAGGAAAGTGTCGGCTAAAAGAAAACGACTGCCGCTAGAAACGCGCAACACGAAAGATCAGAGCCGGCGTAGCATTGACGTTAGCGACAATGGTGTCGTTCACCGTGACGCCTAACAACTTCCTTCGCATATCGTGCATCTATCTTTTTTAATTAACCAAGCATCGAGCATAATGCCGGGAATCAGTCAATTAAGTACATAACATGCGCGTGTCCGAGACAAGAGGAGAAAGTTTCGCAGCGAGTCGCGTCCCTTTGCGAGTTTCGTCGTGGCGCATTTACAATTTTTTTCCTTATTTAATTACAACTACATTACCGATGGAAATCGACGAAAAACCGGCGTGCCGTAATTAATTACGGTTCGGCTCGATATCTGGAAACGTGTGCGATGGCACGCAAGTGCCATTACCTTTGCGAGGACAACGATCCAGCTATTTTCACCGGTGTTACGTATATTACCAAAAACTTTCTTGTGCGAGGTATGTTTGATCGCGTAATGAGAGGCTTGGAGGTTCTGAACTACATTGTACGAGCGAAGATTTACGCACTCAGCAGCCCCGGTGAAAGAAACGAAGCACTCAAGGCTTCGCAAATGTCTATCGGTCGATTTTATCCTCGATATTAAACCCCTTAATTATACCCCTTTTACAACTTCACATCGATTAAACCGTATTCCAGGTTCCGACATTACATTTATTTCCTCTCGATTTGATTATATAAACGTTACTTTATGCGTTGTACAATTGCTATAAGCAAATGCTTTAACGCGTCACGAAATTTCGTTAGACGTTTAATCGCATCTATTAGTCGATCGACGTAATCGAAGAATTCATTGCTGCAATTTATTGCAATTAAATTCGCTTTATCGAGCCACAGGAGACAGTAACGCGCGTGACGTAACGCGCTTTCGTAATAACGATATCAAATACCTGGCTAAAATACAGACAATGCAAGGACCAAAAAAGAGGAAAAGGAAAGAAATTCCCTTTAAGGAGAATTAGCGATCTTACGGTTCTTCTGTTCGATCGGAGAGATCTGAAAAATATTACCGTGTATCGAGAACGGAGAGGCATTGCGTAAGAGACCGAGGAGGTTCGATCGGAATTACGTCCGGAATCGTTTTTACGAGGCACGAGCGAGAACGACGGAATCTGAGGCGAGTAACGATCGCGCCGCTCCTTCCGAAGTGAAAGAAAAAGAAACGCCGAAGAAGACTGGTCGCTGCGATCATTGCACGCTAAATTGCTGGCTCCTCCTCGACGAGTGAACGGACAAGAGAGCGATTCGAAACAGTTCGAATGTACAGGGGGTATGTTACGCGTGCGGCAGATCCGGGGATCCGGTAGTAATCAACCAGCTGGTTGGTAGCCCGTGGGAAAACGGCTTAACGCCGAACGAACGCCTTTGCACGGTGTGGTAGCACAATCGGTCCACTTTAATGTTGGCGGACGAGTAGGATTTTCCGGGGAGTGGGCCAGCAGCCACGGCGAAAGTGCCGGTATATATGCCAGTGATTGGCGCGATGTAACTTCAGTGTGCACCTTCGAACGATACCATGAGCACTCCACAGGTGAGCTCGCGGTACCCCACTATATTCATACACGATACATATCATAGATTATCGTACACGAAACGAACAAAGGGATAGGGATTATGTAAGGTGAGAAACGGAGAAAGTTCGCCAGCGATACGCGGTTGCATTGTTGCGGAACATTTTTCAAACAGGGAGCTACATCGAAGAAAGCTTCTATTTTCTATTGTTCTTTATTGCGCGTTCCCTCGATACTGTTTCTCTACCTCACCGCGTCTAGAGTGTTAAAGTCGTAGCCACAAGTCGGAAGAGCCGTGTTCTTATCGATAACACGATAACACGTTCGTGATAACTTACATTTATCGCTAGAGCTTCGTATATCGCTTTCGCCACGCACTTTCTCCCGTTAGGGTATTATGTAAGTTAGCTATTTTCAACAACGTAAATCACATTCGACGCAAGGAAACGTACAGACACCGCACACGATACATCACGTCTGTCGAAATACACCGTTCGTTCACTTAACCATGTTTATACCTTCAGAAGCTTATAATACTCGCCTTGGTGGCGACAGCCCTGGCTGGGGATGCTAAGGAATCGAGCACGAAACCCGCCATTGAGACGAAAGAGAAGAGCAAACGAGGACTGGAACTGAGTCTTGGAGGCGGCGGTGGCCTAGGAAGTTACGGAGGCCTGGGAGGTCATGGAGGTTTGAGTCTCGGCGGAGGCCTGGGAGGCCACGGAGGTTTGAGTCTCGGTGGAGGCCTTGGTGGAGGTCTCGGCGGAGGTCTA